CGTGAATATTTTGCGCGTAATGCCATGCTGTTCACGAACCCTCGTTTATGACGATTTTCTGACCGTATTGACCGACCCGAGACGCGAAACGATCCCTGCCGACCATCGCCTACCAGCGTAAAACTGCGTGTATGTTACGTGTAACATGTTATATAGCAAGGTTATAAAGTTTGTTAGAAAAACAGAAAGGAAAATGTTATATAACATTTTTCGTGTTAAGCTGCTTGTACACTACATAGGAAAACAGTGTTATATAACAAATTATAAAACCATGTTGTATAGCAAAGTCCATATAACAATGTGTTATATATTACTGTTTTGCTGCGTATGTAGTATAGACGTAGCTTTAGGTCCCAACAGTTCTTACCGGGCAAAAACACGCTAAGTGGGTCCATTCAGCCGCGACCGTGTAGGTGGTTCGCCTCTATTCGAGCAGATCAATGCAGAATTCGAAAAAATTGCGCAAACCGAGAACTGAAAAAAAGGTTCGTCGAAAAAAGTTTCGCATTTATTCGCGTCACCGATTCCTGAACCGGGACCAAGAAACCGCTGTGTTTACACCGTTATACAACACGGCAAAATATAACGTGTTCATGAGTGGTCAAAAGATTAACAAATACACTCTATGTAAATGTAAAAAAGAAAGTATTTTTTTAGAGTGTAAAAAATTTGTTCTATTTCATTCGAGACATTGAATAAAATAAATTTATTTGAGATTCATAAGATTCGATGACGCTCAAAAACACATTATCTACCGGGTGCAGCAAATTATATTCATGAAAAAAAAAAGTCTAATAAAATAACGTAATAATTTCTTCTGTCACCCTGATCTAAGGATAATATTAACACATTATCTATAAGCACTGAAATTTAAAAGCTTATTAACACCAGAACTACCAGCATTCAATGTATACTAAATTAAATTACCATAAAATAAAATTTGTAATAAATTAAAAGCCAACATAAATTCCCTCAGAAGTACCATTATAATTTCAGTAATGGTAAAATAGTGAATCTGTAATCCGTTATTTTTCACGGGTTTGGTAGTTCTAGTGTTAATATGCTACCAGTCGATAAAGTGTTCAGAACAAAGGGTAAATCTAGAATCTGTCCCAGAAGTATATCCTCGGGGTTGTTGACACACCAGTAAGAACGCGTTAATAAGATTAAGATCGAAAGCTGGTGTAACGCAAGTGCGCAAAAATGCGCTGAATGCTTCCCACTTCCATTCAGGTTCGAAAGTTTGGAAAGCGGACAAACGCATCGATCACGTCTATTCGATCCAGCGCACCTGTACGCTCCATTGAAAACGGACGTGAAAACTCAATGGCGATTCGAGTGCACCACGGACCAAAGATCTCCCTGATATTTTATTTCATCTGCTCCGTGAAATCACGAACCATCGTGAAATATCAAATAACCTCTCTCGCTACAACATACACGTGTCGATGATCTTGAAAGTGGTTTAACTCGCACACATTATTCACTTAGAAGGGAAGGCACGAAAGTGTCCCCCTCCGATTTTGATGAAACTTCGCATATCTGTTAAACAGTCAAAATTAAGGGTTACGTATTTTTTTTTATTGGCTGAGACGCGACTTTAAGGGGTGAAACTGCCCCTCGAAGTTCCGACCCGAAAGTACTATCTCGAAAACCAGAGGATACACATGAAAACGTCTAATGGACGAGGTTCGCGGTTTTTTATGTACAATAATATGGTGCTAACAAATTGTCCAAAATATAATTTGTTTATAACAAAAAATTTCGGAGTTAATTAGTCTCCAACTGAATCGCCCCAATTTCGTAATCATCGGCTGATACAAGCAGCCTGTAAATAAGAACGTGAAATATAGGTATATATAAGTGACGACAGCTTCGCAGAGCCTGTAAAATTTAACAAGGTCGGAAACTATTTATACACAGGCCGGGTGTTACCGTAGGCCCGAGAAACAAAGTATCTTTGATCGTTTACATAAGTGCAGGATGCGATACGGCTTGCACGGTCGCGACTGAACAAAAGGGAATCACATGACGAGGGACGGAGGGGGATCAGCGCGACGTCTCAAGGAGACAACGTTCCGATTAGCCCCTTCTGCTCTCTTCGGTCGTTGATAATCCGTTAGGTCTGTTTTACTGTAAAAAAAAAGTCACTCTTTCGCGATGCATTGAGTTTTTGAAAATATTGCCCTATCTGTGTCTTGAAGATTAATTCTATACAGAGTGTCCCACCTAACTCTGCCACCCTTAATTATTCTCTAATTTGTGATGGTACAAAAAAATGGTTCGGAAGACAGTTAGTGTATTTTAAAGGAGAAATTAGGCTATGAGGTTGAAGGGCATCTCAAGGTCATATCTTCTGTAATTTCTCTAATAGTAACGGTTTTTTAAATGGATTCCCTTATTTTTTGTTTGCCATTACAAAGAGGAGACCGTAGGATTCTTGAACTTCCTCCACTTTGATATGTTATTTCCCTACTTTGCCTTTATTACGATAGAAACAATACCATCTATGTACTCTATAAAAGCAGAAGGAGTTGCAAGGAGAGGGACAGAAGCGCGCGAGAAGCTGCAACAGAGAAGAATAGCGATCTAGAGTCCCCTGTTTGTTTGTACAGTATTATTCCCACTGTCGGCATGAAAGAGAGGTAGCAAGGTTACAAAATCAGTTAAATGCAAAGTATATATACACCTGCACTCCGTAACGAAACAACAGAAGCGACAGAACTATTCAGTGCAAAGAGTCTTCGACTTAATATCAGACCTTGTATAAGCTCCCTCTCGGTTCTATTTTCAGTTGTATATTTTCCCTGCTTCGATTCAGTATCTATCGATGGGCTATTTAAACGCAGAAATAGATTCGAACACACTGAAAATGCTACTTCGAATTTGTAAGTTTGTTACCTATCAAAATATCAATTTCTTATGAAGAAAAACTATCATCAATTTCAATTGTTATTACTCCGAGGCGTTATACACACGGATGCTGTGTACAACCCTTAAATTATCTATAGTAATATGGTTTCAGAATTCGGAATAAATACATATTCGAAATTTTCTTCACACGTGATCGACCCGTCTGGTTTCTTTGATCGATCGTGAGGTGACCACGGACACCTGAAAATTACCTGTGCAAAGGGGGGAATAAGAGAGAGCGTTGCGCAACGAAATTCGATCATCGTTGCCGCGATGATAATGCAACGATGGAAAAGAAGAGGAATAAAAAGGTGGAGGGAAAGAAGGTAAGAACATTAAGGAGACAAATGGCGGTGACGTGGCACAATTTGCGCCACACGGTGATGCTGTGGAAACCGTAGCCCGCCGCGCGAGGTCACGACAAGTGAAAGAAATATAAATCGGCTACCGGAGGCATGGGGATCAGTCGATCGAGCCGGATGGAACGAGTCGTGATTGAACTAGCCGATTCACGGTCATTTTTCCTGGGGATAAATGTAGAGTAAGGGGCCCAATCCCACCCCCCACGTTTTCTTGGTTCTTGTTCGAAGACTAATCTACATTATATTGCGAAAAAAATTGTATAGTCACTTGGATACTTTGATTACGTAATCCTTTTTTCACTTTTTCATAGAAGTTTAAAAATTAAAAATAGAAATGCAAAAAGGGTTCCCAATCCCCTCACTAAGTTATAGAACCCTGGAGCCCCGCCTCTGGCGAGAAGAAAGGTAAAGGGTTTCGAAGTCAATGTCGAAATTGATGCTATTAATAATGCAGGATCGTTCGAAAGTTGCCGGGCTTCTTAATTCGTTCCAGATTTAACGGCAGACACCGGGGGCAGTCAAGGCGAGTCGCTCAAATTGTTGTGCACGGTCGCGAAATCGAGCGCCAGTAAATTTCTCGAACCGTTCCACACACTTTGTGTTACGCATTCAATGTTTCTTCGAAGATTTCTTGCAACGAATCGAGTATTCTGTGCCGAGTTTAATTAACTAATACCGGTGAACAAGCATTAGAAACAAGAAATATGAAAATAAATCTGTTCCTAGCAGAGATGAACACTTATAAAAGATTTTTAATTAATATCTATATATTCGAAGGGATCGCTTCAAATTTTCATTTCGAACTACAAGTTGCTTTGTCCAGAATTATTTATAACCTTATACCCGTTGGAACCCTTAACGGATAAAAATCTTTCATCGACGAAAACTTATTAAACAGAAAATTATTATTATAAAATAATCTTTTCTCACTATCAGAAACTAATCGATAAGATATTTTAAAATAAAAATCTGTTAAATGTCATTTAGGTATTGATTTTATAAATTCTAATAATATGCAGTTGCTTGCTTTTAGAAGAAGTGTTCGAAATGGCTACTTTTGACCTGAATGCAAGCCAACAGTCGTTGGACCACAAAGTTTCTTAACCTTTCAAAGGTTACATTCACAAAAAAAAAAAGAATGATAAAAACGATAAAATGGCGAAAACTGTAAAAATAGTAAAAATGTTAAAAATTGCAGAAAATGGTAAAAATGGTAAAAACGGTAAAAATAGCAACAAAAAAAAGGAGAGGAAGGAACAGGGTCACACGAGACCCCCGATTATATGAACTTCCTTTGTTAACTTCTTGCTCCCCAACCAATCACTAAACTACACCTATCCCACAAATTACGAAACATCCTCGATAATACTTCTAAATACAACCGCCATCTTCAGCTCTAAAAGTGAACCTAAAACGGAAGTAGAGCTAAACCATGAAAACGGTACTCCGTCACACTGTCGATTAAGTCATGCACTGAATAACTTATTATAACAACCGAGCTCCAAGACAAAGAAATTCGCGTGAAAATCATGGACACCACCGGCTCTCTGTCTACGATCGGTTGCCGCGTGTGGTAACGCATAAAACAAGAAATTGACCGAGACAGAACGGGAAGGCGGAGAGAAACAGAGAGACGGTTAATCGTGTCGGCGAGCCGCCGCGAAACGATCTGTCGAGCGTCCCGAAGCGTGTATGTTTCTTGCGTGATCCTTCTGTGTGACTTACCTCTTGAGATACGGGGATGTTGTTCTTGTTCCGGCTGGTGTTGGATGTATTATTAATGGCGGATAGCGTGGTGAGGGTTGCAGTCCCGACACCGCCGACCGTCTTCCCGCTGACCTTGGTACCAGCACCACTGACATCTTTGTGCAGCGTTCCAGGACTCTGAAAATTGAAATATATCGACGACCGTTAGGACAATGGTCGAGGTATCAACCTTTCGCGATGATAATGAGGTCGCGTGTATGCACAAGGTGGTGTCGGTGAATCCTGGATGAAATATACAGGGGGGAGGATGAATTAATGGCTCCTTTTGAGCTGGGATGATATGTAGCTGAATGAAATAGTAAATGATTTCTCTGCGGGAATTTTGGTGTGAGGTGTATTTATCTTTTGTGTATATTGATCCATTTGACTCCATTGATATTCGGTATACAGTGATTTCTTGGTGAATGCGACACGAACAACGGTGTTATTCCCACCACTGGGGGTATTCCCATTTGAAATCAATTTAAACAAAGTAAACCGAAGCTAAGCAGAGGCTCTGCTTCTGCAGAGTAAACGTTTCCGCTTTGCCATAAGTGCTCCGAAACGGACCTGAGCACGTCGTACTCATCGAGACATCGCTGTATAAGAGAAATAAATAGGGTAATCTGAGGATAAAACAAAAGGAAGGAGGAAATCAAACTGTTTTATTAATTATCTTAAGATAATAGATCTACCAAAGAAAAGTGTAATTTTTCATATTTTGTTCCACTTGCACGTAACTGTTACTAGAGCAAGCCTCTTAAACAAAATTATCATATAAAAGAGGTTATTAATGTACATAACAGGTTCATTAAAATTATGTGTAAATGTACAATGACTATTAGTCTCTAAACCGCAATTCACACTCATCTACTTATGTAGATGTATTATAATTTCGTATCTTGTATCTTGTATGCAATAAATATATTAACAATAACGATAATAATAATGTCTGTAGATAGTAGATCTATTAAATCGGTTCGCAAATGGCTGTCGATTTCCCAGGTAAACGAACGCTTTACGTAAAACACAATTTTCCGCTTTTCCAGGATCCAGATATGACTCTCGAAGTGAAAGTGTTAATGGAACCACGTACAGTACGCTTCGTGACCGTAAATCGTCGAACAATTGAAATCGGAACGTTCCGCGAGCTAAAGCGCAGCGTGAGAGACGCCGCCGATGCGCCCAGCAGCGGAGGACTTTCACGACGCGTCTCGTAACTAACGCGTACACGTCGACGGAAATTTTCTTGCATCGGAAACGAGGTGTGACGAATCCTTATGGACACCTGTCGGGCGTCGAATTGAAAAAAATTAGAAATATATGTACACCTTTCTCGAGGAACCATATTATACGTGTACAGAACTCATACGTGGTATCTAGGACGTTTTTGTTTTTGTTATCAGATTTGTAATACAAAATGGCGAAAGTTAGCTAATGTGCTCCTTTCAATTATAAATAATATTCGAAAAATCTGATGATACTATAGAAGTTTCTGTGGAACACCGGTTATTTATGCTTATTAAAGGTGTAATCTCGATCGTTCTCGATAAGGATAACATGTATGAAGATCTAGGTTCTGTAAAAAAAAAAAAGGAGGCTTATCGAGCACGTGTTGGTATGACCTTTTTCTATATTTTGTTCCACGAGACCTTCCATACGTGCTGTTATCATTGTATGCTAACTGCGCGTTGATGGATACTTTCAGATACCACAACCTACATTACTATGGGTCTAACAATGGAATCTAATTAGAATCATTACTACAAACACTCCTGTGATCTATATTGTAGGCTACAGAAAGTTGCTGGTTTTCGTTAATATTTAATAATGGAATTATAACCATTTTATTATTTCTAATCTGTTGTTTGTTACGCGCATAAATCGCATTATCCATGGATTTATTTTATAACGTAATAAGTAGATTGCAGAATTTAAATATTTATGATAAATTAAACGATAGCGTACTTTACGTATTCAAGGGTCTGTTAGAGTAAAGATAAATAAAAGACTGAAGATACTAATTGCTCCTTATCAAGGCCAGTACAATTTTGTACTAAATTCGACAAAATATACTAAATTCGTTTTTTTGCCCGAAGTCCGAGCCTCGGAAACAAAAGCAGAGGGGCAAGAAAGTACAGACTCCTCTCGATTATTGTCCGGCTAGTTCTACACGATTATTGTCCTGGCATTATCCCCGCCACTGGAGGGGGGTGGAAATTGTCAAGTGCATATTTTGTTGCCTAGGCCTGGGCTTAGGGCAAAAAACGAATTTACGAGGGTTTGAAGCATTCCTTCCTATAAGATTATTGTCTTCGCGCTTGACAGATTCCACGGCCTCCCCCCCGCCCCTCTGCCAGTGGTGGGGATAATGCCAGGACAATAATCGTGTAGAACAAGCCGGACGATAATCGAGAGGAGTGTGTAGTTGTAAATTACCACGGATTATCCAAACAATTGCAATAAAATTAAACATAGAGGTCCACCTAGGCGATAGGACGTCGCGAATGGTTAACCATCAAACGTCTGAAACAACCAGGTACTCTTATGAATATCCTGGAAACGGAAGCGCACAGGATACGCGTGTGTTCCCCGCGTCTATACACACCGGTTCCACATCGCGTTGCTTTCAAAGGAACAACGCAGGGGACAAAAGGCGTCGAAACACTTTCCACCGTTGAAACACATCGCTCGCCCGGAAAGGTGCGTTGACCTGTGATCTAATGCCGCAAGGTTACCCCCTCCCCCTGCCCCTCCCACCAGTACTTTTCGACATTGATAATGAAGCACCGGCAGCAGGTACATCGAACCGATCACGGCGTTGCCCCGTTACTTCCGGACGCGCCTAAGCTCGTTTAGCGAAATGGCGCATGGAAAGTTCAGCACTCCTACAGACCGTACACCTCTGTGGACTTCCTTAATTAGCTGTCTCGTAATCGATTTCACCTTAACGCTCGGGCCGTACAACTGCAGATTATTATTGTATTATTAACGTTCCTCGGCGCATAGCACGATTGTAAGGAATTTAGACACGGATGATGGAATGTTTTATGGAGGTTGGAATACTATTTTTGTACGTCGTTGTGGTCTAAATGAGAATGGAGGTGAATAGATAATTCATGGATAGACTGGTTATGCATTTGTAGAGTTTCCTAACTTGGAAAGTGAGATAAAATAAACGTATTAATTAAGTTTAGTACTGTTTATGTGTTATTATTGACATAGTAAAATCTCTGGTACAGAATTCAAAATTATTCTCCATTTTGGTTTTTTAAATATTAGTATCTAAAATTTCGTTTTTGTGTAAACTTCCACGGTATTATTAATGAACGACGAATTATACTTGACCTTCTATATCTTTTCTTAGAAAAATCCAACGTTTCTTTTGTCAACGTTCAAATGTTAGGGTATTTTCTATATCTACCAATCGCAGTGCATAGCTAACGGTTTTGGTCGAGGTTTTTCGTTAATATCTCGTTAACAAAGCCTCGGATAACATTTTCGTTAAGGAAAAACTTGTTTCAAATCACCTCACGAGTCTCCCATTTCCGGGTCCTCCAACATTTTTGTTAGACCTTGTACATGCAATTACGAAAGTAATTCGCCGCGATATGACCCACAAAACGTGCACGAAATAAATATCAATACGAAGTCAACGGACCAACAAACCGTGGGCAACTGCGTCGAATGAAATGTCAAGCAACCGACGCGTGAAATCCCCTTTTAGTCCACCAGGAGGACAATAGACGACGGGCTTATGACCGTGCGCGCCACAATACACAAAAGAGCGATTCCCGTGAGTATACCCGTGGCGAAGATAGTTCTGCGACGATGAACGAGATATTACTTCGTCGATGACTGCACCCGAAGAAAGTCAACCGGCTTGGAGCCACCCTTTAATGATCGTCCCCCTTCCACCAATGCTCAGCCGTTCCGACAATATCCGTGGATCGCTTTCACGAGCCATTGTCTTCTTGGGGGCCGGGCCCACGTGATTATTCGTTAATTAAAAACTCTCCCACCTATCTATGCTCGGCCAAGCTGCCTTAATTATGGAAGAAATAATGAGTTTGCCGTCGTCGAGTCACGCGTGTCCGTTTTCCGCGATGCATCCGGTCGGATCGACGATCCAAAGACAGTTTATGTAAACTCTCCTGCAAGGTTACGCGCAACGGCCGGTTGACCTTTGTCGAAGTCATTATGCAACTTTCACATCGCGTGAGATATTTAATTTTGTAATTTTTTTTCTTTCCTCCTGTTCATGCCTCGGTTATATCGCCTTGGAGGTTCGTTTGAAATGTGGGGTATTCAGGCTCGAACGCATACTGATATAACTATACTGTCCTCCTTACTTAAAAGGATCAATCTATAAATTATCTGCAATGCATGATCCTTTAATTCTTCCCAGCAACATAAATTTATATTGAATTACTTACAAATTACAAGATCAGAAAGATCCTAGTATTTTTCGTTCCATGTCATAGAACATATTTCCCATCGAATTATAATCCAATAACATTATTTCCTCCCGCTCAAGACACGGCATTAACACAAGACAGTAACCATTGATTTATTATGGTAAGCTTCATCAGCAGCTCGTAAAACAGCCGAGAAACTGAAAGGAAAAACCGACCGTACTTCCGGTAGGATAATAACAATTTTAAACGACCATGTGGAGATCACATAACTAACTCCCGGGGGTAGAAAAGTTTTTTTTTTCTTTTTATTTCGCGATATACACTCTCCCCCAAAGGAAAACGGAACTTTCTCGAGTGGTTTTTTTTTGTTCATCCATTCAATTTACACGTCGGATCGAAAGCAATAATTTCTCTTACGAGCTGGAAGTAGACCATAAAGGAATTCAATCTCTCATTGAAGACCCTTGGCGAGCAGATGCGTGTTCGGAGGCTGTTGTGTGTATGCAACGAAGGTGAAAGAAGCCTCGCAAATGGTGTACGTATGTACAAGAGTGAACGAACGAAAGAGGGAGGGAAAGATGGAAGAAAAAGGACGGATTCGCTGAACCCCATCATTAGCTCTCGGCCAAGGGTCGAACCTTAATCTCTCTCTGTTGGCTCCCTCTCTTTCTATCGTGTTTTTTCCATTTTTCTCGAGACACCTGGCCGCGATAGCAGGTG